TCCTGGTGGTTAAGATCATTTCTTGGTTTCCATGGAAGTGGTAACCAAGTACACAGCATCTTACCACCTGTCACTGCCGTAACTGTGTGTACTAATTCCCACACAACTTGACTTAGTTCTCTACTGTGCCTAAGCTGTCAGCCCTGATGACGGTTGAGGCCGGTGCTTCTCTGGTCCTGCCTGCTTCCTATCACTTGCAGGTGTGGAGAGGGATCAAAGGCTTAAGCAGGCTCCAGGTGCCACTGCACCTGCTAACCCAGCACCACACCGTAAGTAATGTGATTCAGAACGACTCTAATTTCTATCACCCATGTTCCTAAAAAGAGTAAACTGAGAGCATAGGAGACATTTATGTACTTTGCTCAATAGTTTAAATAAAGTTCTGAAAATACCATTCTAATTTGTCATTAAAAAGAGAAATCCAGTGTTGAAAGAATTTTCATCTAGACTCCTTTAATGATTTAAATGAACAACTTCTCATTAGTTAAATATTTTATTTTGGTAGCCAATATTTAAGGGTGCCATACTTACTTAAATTAAAATTTTCAATTATCACAATTCTCTGAGTTATACCTATTAGACACGATATACTTTATTATTTAAACTCAGGGCCCAGTGCACGAATTTGTGCACCTTGAATGGAACTGTGATCTGCAAGGCTGTGGAGAGCACAGGAGCAGGTCTCAGCCCATCCTCCAAGCCCTCGCTTGGCCCCTCCCGCCTGACCCCTAGTCCAGTCTGCCAGCAGCCCCGCTCCAGCCATCCGCTCCCACCACTGGCACTCCCAAACATGGAGTGATTCAGGCAGGTGCCAGCAGCAGTTGCAAGCAGTGGTTGCTGCCCCAATCACCCCTCAGGAGCAGGGGGAGGTGGAGAAGCTCTCAGATCAGGGCCAGTGCTTGCACCTGCTGATGGCAATGAGCAGTTGGGGCAGACACTGGGCGCCGGCAGCGGGTGCGAGCAGCAGCTTGGGTGTGGGCAGCGGGTGTGAGTGGGGCCATTGCTGACAGCAGTGCAAGAGGTGGTTGCAGACCCCAACCATCCTTTAGGAGCAGGGGGAGGTGGAGAAGCCCTGAGGGGCAATCATGGCTGGCAACCGCTTCTTGCACCCGCTGACAGCACCTGTACCTGCTGACAGCACCTAGTGATCAGGGCCAGTATCAGGAGCCAGGAGCAGGTGCTAGCAGGGCTGGCGTGGGCACCAGGTGCCAGTGCCAAGTGGGACTGCGGCGTGTGGGAGCAAAGAATTTTTAGTAACCACCAGAGGCTCACCCCGATGGCAGTGACTGGTGCCGTGCCTTGATCTGGCAACCCTGCTCACCTGTTCCACCATCCTGCTGTAGCCAACACTCGCCATGTTATGTACGTGCCCCTTCTCCCCTCCTCCTGTGTTCAGCACACATCCTTACGACTGGTTGTTCCGCCATTCAGTCTATTTGTATATTTATATATATAGATTACTGACATTCTTTCCTTATTCTATTTAGTACTGTGATATAAAAGTAGTTCCCTTGCTCTGTTCCAGAAGATTTTAGAAGGAAATAGTGATTAAATTAAAACAATGGTCTTTTGCAAGATATTTATCAGCAAATAGAAAGGGGAAAAGCCTGTTTTTCTGATTGCCTGTTGCTTGATAAAAATTCTATACCAATATTATCATTCCCAACTTAGAGTGACAAATATAAAAATAAGAGAAAGAAGTCAAGTGTCCCATCCCAATCCTTATGGTGTCTTTCGTTACTTTGTCTACACAGTGTGCCTGAAAACAGCCGGGATGTCCAAGTGCCCCAAGGGTCTGGCACAGGGCTATTCGCTGTCACTGGTGTGAGTAACAGTGAGTATTCCAAGTTGATCGAAAAGTATTACATGTTTTGACCAATTTAAAATTGTCAGCACCTTGACTTAAACACTTGTTCTAATAGTTATCTAGTCTGTTTATGACTGAAATAACACATTTTTCAGAGATGAGACAACAAAACATGTTTGGGAAATATCATGTGGTAATGAACATGAGTTCTAGAATCAGACTGTTTCTGAATCCTAGCTCAGGCACTTGTTAGTTGTATGGCCTCGGTCAAATAACAGAGGGGTGCATGGTTCCAACTTGAGAGGGAGGCCATGAAAACGACAAGAAACTAGAGTAGGTATGTGGGAGGAGGACTATGATGACAGTCTTTGTCAATGACTAGTATTATGTCTTGAAGAAAAACATTCCCTGGAAACAGGTCAAATTAGTGTACAACAGTAACAGCTCCTGTCCATTTTCCAGATACACGTTAGTAGCAAACAGATCAACAGTGCCCTGAAATGGAAACCTATCCACTATTCAAATTGGGGAAGAAACAAAGAGACTTACATTTGAAACTGAAACAAAGAACTTCTCTAGCTAAATTCACCTTCGTCTCCCCAATCACAGTGCTTTCCCTTCAGAATGTCCTTTCCATGCAAACGCATTTCCCAAACCACCTCCTGGAAAAGTCAGGAAAGGCTTGTCCCCAAACTATAGCGTAGCGAGGGGTCTGACCTGCAGGAAGGCACATGTAACCGTTTCTATTTACTTTGAAAACAAAAACAAGACCCAGCTACATAGGCTTCTGGGTCCTAGGCACTGCTCTAAGCACCTCAGACCCGATTCCCTGCATCCGGGGCACCAAGGGATAGGCACTGCGGTACTCAGGACAATGACTCCACGGCACTCTCTGCTGTGCGTCCTGTGACTCTCCCTCAGGCAAGCAGAGGCGCGGGCACAGGGGCTTACTGCTCAGCATGCGTCTGGCCTCCAAAAGAGAGCCGCAGTGTGGCAGGAAGGGGAGAGTGAGGCTCCAGCTCTGCTTTTCTACAGATTTCATCTGCAGAAAAGACTCTAATGCTAAAGCTGACAACCCATCATTCTAATCCAATACTGATTTTAACCATGAGTAAATAGAATGCCAGGCAGACAAAGCAGCCTGCTGACCCCGCCACTGCGCAGCCCTGGTTCCCACCAGCACGGCCCGCCTACCACTCCAAAGCTATTATTAACTGCCACCATTGGTGGAATGGGGAATTTTTGTTTAGGTCCTTGTTTCTGTTCCACCACCTTCATATTTGCATTGAGATTAGAAAACCAGAAAAATTTTAATGTTTCCTTACATTTCAACTTCTCCCTTTTGCTACAGAGTAGCATGTTTAGGCTTATTCTAGTGTGTGAGATAAGCACACTGCCTATTAAATCACTGGCTGGAGTTCCCCATGTCACAGAACATGCAGGACCAAAGATCCTTTGAACTCATATACATATGATTTGCAAAAACCTACCGTTTCCCCGAAAATAAGACAGTGTCTTATATTAATTTTTTCTCCCAAAAGTCGCGCTAGGTCTTATTTTCAGGGGATGTCTTATCTTTCCATGCGCTAGGTCTTATTTTCGGAGGATGTCTTATTTTCGGGGAAACACGGTAATAGTACATGTTAATTCCTTGTGCTTTAAGGGAAAAAGGTAAATAGTATATCAAAGCCATGAGTTAACAAGCATAGTTTAGGATGAGGCAAATGAAATCTCTACCACAAATACATTACAGGCCAAGACCTCAGATCCACGAATGCCTCTATCTGGAAATATCTAAGAATGGATAAAACAGAATATGTTTTATCGTATGTACATTACATTCTCAAAGGCATTTATTTTAACCTAAGTAGCAAAATCTGTTTTACATGAACTGTTCTGGTTTTGCAAAGTTAATGTGTAACTTCTTTTATTCCCCAAAGTATTTAAGTTTTTATCATCACCTTCTATTACGCCAAGAAATGGTTTACCATTTGTGGTGATAATATGATGCTGATGGAGATAGGACACCAGTTATCAAATCACTGGATATGGCAGAATAATGGGAAATACAATGAAATTTAGAACTTTATCAAACCTCAGGGACACAAGAGCATACTTACCTTCACATTTTAACTTCCCAGGTCATTTCATGAACTGAGTATCATAGACATTTATATTACGTACTCACATGTTCATTTAAATAAGACAGGTTTGCCTTAATCACCAATAATTACCGAAAGGAATTTTTTCATGCAGACCTTCCACAATAAGCCCAGAGGCCTCTTGCATTCTTCAACCACTATGGCAGTGACCAAAGACACAACTCTTTCAATAGGAATAATTTGGAAACAACTGCTATGAGAGGCTCCGGAGGTGCTAGGGTCAAGGAATCTATGATAAAGACTTAGACTATCAGCACTGATTTGTTAAGAGTGGTTTCCATGATGCAGTAGCACCCGCCAGCGGATACTTGTGAAATCTATTGAATATAAAATAAAATAAAATAAAATAAAATAAAATAATATAATATAATATAATATAGGTAGATAGTATTATTTAAGATAATAGTCTCTCAAATTTCACCTTGGACATAATTATATTACACACAAAAAAACAAATTGAGGGAGAAAAGTGGTTTCAGTAATCTGGTACTTATAGAATTTAGAATTTATAACACATTTGTCACTAAAAATACATGGCTATTTAATTAGCTTTCAACATGCATATCTTTCTCTAAATTACAAGCTCTTCATTCATCTGAAAATGTTATAAAGCAGTGAGTGTGCCAGGCAGTGTGCTAGCCAGGCCCTCAAGCATGAGCTATGTTTTGTCCAGCACCAGACCAAACACCCAACCTGCAGCCAAAAGTGCAGCCCTTCTAAAGAGTGCGGGAGAGGATCACAAAAACCTGCCACGAGTGATTCCTCTCCCACCAGTGCAGCTCCCATCAAGCTGGAGGGGAAATCAGAGCCAAGAGGCTTTTAAAGGTTGGAAGGACAGACCTAGGCACCCTTAGGCCAGGCCAAGGCCAAGGCCAAGGGCGTGGTCAGGATATGACCCACTCCATGATTCAGTGTGCGGCTGGCTGCTGTGGGCCAAGACAAGACCTCCTTACTACAGGAGACTGACCTCATGCTCCACGTAACCAAAGGCCACAGCCTGCTACTTAAAAGCAAGTTTCAGAATTGCTTACTTGTGGGACGTCCTTTTCTTCATCATGCTTGCAGATACACCAGCATGGCCTAAAAGAGAAGTGAGCATCAGTCAATGAAAATCGGATAAAAAAATAGTTCAAACGCAAGAAAAAAAATAACTTTGAAAACTACAACATAAAGCATGAAATGAAAATAAACTGTAGATGGCCAATATATGAGAAAGCCATTCATTTATTGAACTTTCAAAAAGGAGATGCTAGGGATTGAGAAGATAAAATGATGAACGGTTTATCTCCCCAAATTAGCCATAAAACACAAACCAAAATCATGTGGGCAAGAAAATATAATCAAATAAAAGTGACAATCCTAGCCATAAAGTACTAAAAGTTACAGAATTTGTCTTCTTGCCACATAACAACTAAAAATCAGGACAGAAGATATGAAACACCTGGACCCAGATATTGAGAGAATATAGGAACAGAGAGCAGAAAGCCAGGCAGAGTCCCACACTGAGCTGGGCTCCATTCCCAACAATTGTGGGTGATGCTATATGAAATCAAGAAAAGCATTGTGGTTTTCCTACCTTGAGAGTCAGGCTGGAGCTGGGGAAGGTGAGGTGGCTAGGAGTTATGGGCAGAGTGCTAGCAATGAGATCTCAGTGGGGGCTCCAAACATGGTGAGAGGGTGAGCGACTTAAGATACTAACCTGCCCCCTGGGCAGTTTTGCTCAGTGTTTAGAGTAATGGCCTGTGGACCCAAAGGTCTTGGTTGCAGGCTCAGCTCTGATTGGAATGCGTGGTGGAGGCAACCAATAGATGTGTCTCTCATCGACATTTCTCTCTCTTCCCCCTCCTCCCTTCCTCCTCTTAAAAAAAAAAAAAAAAAAACAATGGGAAAAATATCCTTGGGTGAGGATTAAGAAAAAGAAAGAAGATATTAACTTGCAGAGGCATGAAGGTCCTATGCCCGCATCTCTGAACACTTGGAGCAGTCAGTAAAAAACAAACAAAAAAAGGTGTCCCTTAACAGGAAGTTTGTAGAAGCCCTAAGAAAAAGAGTTGCTACATATCCATCCTTCGAAAACAAACTTCAGTATTAACCAACAGACATCAACAAAAACTGAACACTTCACAACAAATTTCAAAGGTCTAATGCCCCAGGCAAAAACTACTAGACAGACAAGAGAGTGGCGAACTAACCATTTAACAAGCAGGTTATGACTAAAATAGGGTAATTATCGGGCACACAGGTGAAAATAACTATAACAAATATGCTCAAATATCTAAAAGACACAAACATTTGCTCTGGCTGGTGTGGACCAGTTAACTAGATGTCATCCATGCACGGAAAGGATGTCGGTTGTTTCACAGTCAGGGCACATGCCTGGGTTTGGGCTGGATCCCCGGGGCGAGCAGGAAACAGCCTATTGATGTTTCTCTTTCACTTGATGTCTCTCTCTCCCCTTCCCCTCTCTCTAAAAATTAATAAAAATTATTTTTAATGAAAAAATACAAAACACAAACACTAAAAATAGAAAAATAGCAGGAAAAAATAAAACTAGGAAAAAAATACATGATCTGTAATTTTAAAAAATTACTGAATGGGATTAATAGATTAGACTCCAAAGATACAAAGTCCCAAAACCACACACACACACACACACACAAAAAAAAAATCTGGGAAAATGAATAGCCTCAGTGATCTGTTGGACCATAACATAAATGAAACTGAACTTCACAAAAGAAAGGACAGAGGGGTAAAGGAAAAAACAAATCTGAAACATATAACAGCAGTTTTCCATATGTGGTAATTATACCAGTGCAACCATATATAACTTACAAGATCAACATAACAAAGTAAGATAACAAAAACAAAAAACTAAACACACACACACACACACACACACCCCAAAAAAAGGAAAACCGTGCCAAGGCACATCCTAATCAAATTTCTGAAAACCACCAACAAAGTATTTTTAAAACTGCCAAAGAATATTAGATATTAAAAATAGAGAAACAGAAAATACTAATTCCAAATTTGTTCTCAGAAACCAGGTAAACCAGAAGACAGTGCATTAAATCTTTAAGGTGCTGCTGGAAAAAAAGAACCAGCATCCTACTACTGTGAACTCAGCATACCATATTCAGCAAATACCTTTCAACTCCCAGCATTGATAACACATTAAAGGGACATAAAGTAAATGTACCGATTATATTAAAAAGAGATAATTAATATAAGACAAATTAACTTCAGGTTATTTCAAAAATGATAAAAAGACTCAGCCCTGAAAAAAAAAAAAAAGATCTTTTGTGTAAAAGAAAAAGAGTCAGCCCTGGCCAGTAGTTCAGTGGTTAGGGCAGTAGCCCACGAACAGAAGGGTCTGGCAGGTTCAATCCCCACCCTGGTCGAGGAGCATTCAGGAGGCAACAACCAATGTCTCTCACATTGATGTTTCTTTCCCTCTCTCCCTAGAAAGTCAATAGAAAAAATATCCTTGGGTGAGGATTAACAACAACAAAAAATGATTAAAGGGTCAATTATTCAAGAAGTCATAACAATTTTTAATGTGTTTAGAACCTAATTACAAACTACTGAAATACATAAGGTAAAAAATAACAAAATTTACAAAAAAAGTTGACATGGCATACTTAGATAGTTAAACTCTTTTATCCCAGTAATTAATATAACAATGAGTAGAAAATCAGAAAAGATATAGAAGACATGAACATCACAAGCATTCAACCTGAGTTAGTTGACATTTATAGGTACTAACCCAATAATGGCAAAATACTCATCCCTCAACCCCCTGCCAAGTTCACATGGGACATTAACTAAAATAGACCTTATGCTACTCATAATGCAAACTCTCAATACATACATTATACCAACTTGAAATCATATGAAGTTTGTTCTTTGACCACATCAGAATTAAACTAGAAATTTGGAAAGACCTCAGTGTTGAAAATCAATCTTCTAAAAATAATTCATGGCTCAATCACAAAAATCACAATGAAAATTCAAATATTCTGAATTTTAAAAAAATGAAAACACAATCTATCCAATTTGTGTAATATAGCAAAAGCAGTACTTACTATATAAACCAAAATTTACACTAAGTATCAACAATACAAATAAAACAAAGGACTTTTCACCATAAACTCAGAACAGAGGTTTCCCTGTGGGGAGGAGGAAGGCTTCTCTCCTTGTCTTAGATTAAGGTGACGATTTGTAAACAAAATTTTCTGTACTACTGTTATATTTACAATTTTAAAAAGTTAACTGAAAAAGAAGATAGATGGCCAATTGGTTTATGTAAGACTGTCTTAGTTCACAGAAAAAGAGGATGAGCCTTGACCCTGAGTTGAGAGAGCCATGCTCACCCACTTTCACTTTGCATATCTTCAGGGTGAAGAGAAGACACAGAATGGATGGAGGGTAAATCTACTGAAGCATCCCTGATCACCTCTGGGTGTCAGCAGGTAAGAATGAGAAGAAATGCAAAAGCAAGTTCTACTAGCACTGCACCAGCATCAGGACCCCCTCCCTCCCTTCCCACGCTGAACATACAAGGAAAGGGCAGCTGACTTTAGCATTTGGTGTGCCCCCAACGTAATAGATACATCCCTGTTTCTGCATCCTACAAAGCTTAACCTGGCCTCACACATCCCCAAGAGGTTGACTTTCCCGTTTAGAAGAGTAGCATGGCAGAAACAATTCTATTGATCACTCAAGAAAAGGTAAGCATTCATAATTCATTCTTAATTCTTAGGTATGAATGGACAATGATCAACAGTCACGTAACCTGGGTGGCAGAACTGAGAAAGATGGAAACAGATAGCACCACTGTTCACAAAACGGCCCAAGAACTACAAAGATTAATGGAAGAATTGGTATTCTCAAGGAACTGAAGATACTCCAGTCATAAATGGGAACAAGAAGCCATGAAAAGGGAAAACAAAAGTTCTTGAAATTAAAAAGAACAGAGAGAACTTCTTGTTTCCAGTACAGTATGTTAAGAGCTTAGAAGTCATTACTCTGTCCTAACAGGAGCTGAACAAGCTGAAAAATCAACAACTCTTCGTACACTGGTCACAGAGCAAACTGCTGATTCCAAAACTAGAAAAAACAGACAAGCCAATACCCACATTCACAACTCACTCAACAGACGCCTCCAGGGAACCAGTGCTGGGGGAGAAATTCCAAAGAGTAACTGACCAACTGCTGGAGGCTCAGCATATGCAAGTCTAAAAGGGAAAAACTCCAGGGAAATATAGTCACGGGAGAGATGGAGGAAGAGGGTGGTGGGAGCTCCACATTTTTATGAGTTTATCTCCAGGATCTATCAGGTTCTCAGAGTGAAGGTCTTTGAAAAATCCCCTCCTGTTTCTAGCAGAGGGAGGGGAAAAGTACCCCCTTTGAAATATACTATAACATTCTGTTCTAAACTGGACCTGCCCTCAAAAGAAACTATTTTATCACCGCCTGAGCTAAGAACAGGGAACTATCCAGCTCTCCCTAGCCCCCATGCAGTCCTGTCTCACAGAAGGGGGAGGATACAGACAAGCACTTGTGAAGGTCACAGCCCAGTGAAACAGACTCACTGAAAGACAGAGACCTGATCACAGCATTACAGAAAGTATCTCTTCCCCCACCCCTGTACCTCATCACCACCTCCCTAAAGGCCCATTCACTAGAGTTCCTTTACCCTGTGCATCATGTCTGGCTTACAAATAATTGTTAGGCATATTAAAAGGCAAAAAGCACAATCTGAAGAGACAGACCAGGCATCTGAAGCAGGTTTAGATATGGCAAAATTGGAATTATCAGACTAGAAATTTAACGTAGCTATGAACAATATGGTAAAGGATCTAATGAAAAAAGTAGACAGCATGAAGATCAGGTGAGATAAAGATGATACAAAAAAAAAAAAAAAATCAAAAGGCCATGGTAGAGATCAAAAGCATCTAACAAAAATGAAGAATGTCTTTGATGGACTCAGTACACTGAACTGAGGAAATAAGGAAATAATCTCTGGGCTTGAGAATATGTCAACAGAAACTTCCGAAACTGAAAAGCAAGCAAAAAAG